CCCCCCCAGCTCCCCCAGCTGCTCCCCAGCAGCCTGGGGCTCCAGACCCCTCCCCAGCTTTGTTTCTCTCCTCTGGACACGCTCCAGCAACGCAATGTCTGTCTTGTAGTGAGGGGCCCAACCCTGACCCCAGTATTCAAGGTGCGGCCTCACCGGCACCGAGTACAGGGGCCCGGTCCCTGCCCTGCTCCTGCTGGCCACACTATTCCTCATACAAGCCATATTTCTACGGAAATAATCACTGCAGCTTCCCGTAGGAGATGGCATGGGTGGATTACCTCTTTCTAGGTGCCAGAGAGTCAATTAGCGCTTCGGTAGTTCCGTCCCTGCAGAGGGGGATGTGTTCCTGTCCGAAATGCCAAAGCCCAATGGCAAACCCAAGCCTAAGTAAGCCCCCGCGGCTGCTGCGCTGGACGTAGGCTGGGGTTGTCCCTGCCTGTGTCACCGTGCTTGGCTGGGTGGTGGGGGAGCGGGAGAGCCATCAGCCTGCCCAGGCCATCTCAGGAACCTTCCAGAACCTTCCTCAGTTTGTTGGTCTTGCATAAATTACAAACATCGGTGACTTTATAATTTGCACAGCTTGATATGAAGGTACCTCTTGTTCAGGAAGGACTGTCGATGCGGTAAAGATTCACATTTCTCAGTGTTCTTGTTAGTTCACAAGGTTTTACACCACGTGTTACTGCATTCCACCCAGGACTGGCCGACCCAGAAGGTCTTCATTGCCGCTTGGACGGGTGCAGAAGACAAATGGTGGGTTGCTCACGTAGCATTTTGAGGCTTCTTTTGACTCTCATCTGCTGTTAAATCTACCGCTTTCTAGCGCTGTAGAATGATCTCCAGGTCCAGTAGCAATTTATCTTTTTCCTAAATTTAGCAAGTGTGGGGGAAAAAAAAAAACCCGGGGGAAAAAAAGAAACCCGGGGTAAAAAAAAGAGTATAGAAATCATTGTGCCGTTTGGGTATTTTTACTTTTTTAGAATTATTTTAGAAAGAAGAAATGCTGAGCAAAGATTTGTAACAGGAATTATTTGACAGAGAACTGGCTTAAAACTTTGCGGAGAGATGGACTCCTGTACTTTTCCCAGAGGCAGTTACGGACTTTGTATCTGAATTTGCTGTATTTTTCTTAAGAATTTTTGGTGGTTTGTATGAAGGAAACCTGTAGTGAAACTGAAGGGGAGGAATTTTATTGGAGTGTGTGATCATGAATGTATTTATTAAGGTTCGTAAACCCCTGCAAACAGTTTTTCAGGTTCTCGGAGCTCGTACACCAAATTCAGACTAGACTTTTCCAGCATCCATTTAGAATTATTTCAGTAAATCTCTGCAGTTTAATGAAGACACATGGAAAACTGATTTTTTAAAAAGAAATTCAAAACCACATTGAGAGCTGTTCTATAGTCTGATAAGGAGTCTTCCAGCAATAGAATACAGAGAGAAATTCTGTGCATCCAAGTATAAAACGTTGTCTGGGAGCTACACAGTAAGGTCAGCTGTGAAATGTCTCAAATATGCAAAAGCCCCGAATTCACTGAGGAGATGCACATGAAAACAGTGAAGGAATAGGAGTTGCCTGCTTAAATACAGACTCTGCACGGAAAAATAAGCTTTTTGCTAGTTTTTCTGTATATATAGACATTGTCGTAAAAGACCGAAATATAAAAATGATAATTAAATACTAAACATGTTGTCGTTTTATCTACCTGTAGCGTGTTGACGCACATGCTTGTTTGCATGCGTTTTGATTTATTTTACATGCTTTGTCTAATTGATATCAAAACTCCTGGGATAAAATGGGCCCTTTTCTCCAGAGAACTTGGATTGCTTTCAGAATACGAACTCACGGTCGATGACGCTGATGTCTGAACGGCTCAAAGTTGTCCACTGGACAGACATGAGTATCGAACCGTCCAGAATGGCATCAGGAGGCAGGGTCTTTGCTGAAAAAATTCATTGGCAATTTATCAATTCCCCGTGTAACTCCATTGATTACTTCCAATATGGATTAGGTAGCATTTGGCAGCATTGCGTAATTTTCTAGTTTTTATTGGGTTCTTCTGAGGTCCCTCAGTATCCTCGCTAGACCTAACACAAATAAGATTGTCATTCGCCGGTTTTATCACCTTTTTTTGTCCCCGTCACCTTTCAGAAGTTCAATGAGCGCATTAATTTCCCCAGTTCCAATGCATTTCCTTAAAGTCGTTCTAAAATCTGGACATTATCCTGTGCTCCCCTTCTCTTCTCATAGCTAACTTCTCCTGGAGTCAGTAACAGCTAAAACGTTTACACAGAATGGCTACGGATCCCATATTTTGGTCTTATGTAAAAATATGTGAGTCTGTAGCAGTTTCAGTCTTGTTAGTGGAGCTACTGTATACCGGTTCCCTAATAATTATTATATTATAAATTATTGGGGGTATTGAGGGTGTTATTAAGATATTCTATAAATGCCCTTATTTATTGTTATATAAGAAGAAGTTGGAGGCTCTTCTAGTCCCTGATATTTACTTTAACTCTGAGATCCTGTTAGCACATTAAGTAACGTCTAATGTGAATGAGAATACAGCCCAATGTTACGCTGCCACAACTGAGGTATGATAATCTCTGTGCTATAAAAAGCAATTAACATCGGTATTAGGAATATCAGCAAAGCAAATGTCCTGAGAGTCAGCAGCATGTGAACACACACACCTAAATGCATGAAAAATGTCTAATTACCTCCGGGCTGGCAGAAAAGAAAGGGTGATTGTAAGAAAGATTGTAAGAAATGGTGAAGTTTGAAGCAGTCACTTAACCCTGATGTCAGCTTATTTAACGTATGTAAAAAAAAAAGTCACCTCATTCCCAAATATTTCTTACAAAATCGTGCTTATGGGTAAATGCTATAAAGGCTTTGCCTAAACCCTTGCATTTTATGCAGGCAGAGATCAAAATGATGGCTTGCTCATGGCTCAGATGTCTTAAATAGCTCCCTTTGAAGCAGAGCAAAGTCAGGAATCTTAAATCTCAGTAAGTTTGTACTTTGACGGGTTAGGTTTAGAAGGTAAGCTCATGCATAGCAGTCAGAGCTTCCCTCATAGTGTTGTTCTTCTATAGAGTTCTTTTGCTTCGTGTGATACATTCTAGTGGTGACTCAGTAGTACATTGATTTAAAAAATGTATGGCAGTACGTTAATCATGTTCCTGAGCATTATTATTTATTCACATAAGGTTAATGCACGTATAAAGCAAAGTTCTCAGAATCTGAATAGCAATTAAAGTTCACGGAGCTGCAGGTGGACTCAGCAAGTACATCTTTGCCCTTTCAGTTCAATTCCAGTTCTCTGAACTTAGAAACACTGAGAAAACATTTAACTTCTTCATCCAGCTCTGTGGTTTTGTTCAACAAGGCCCTCTGGCTTGGCAGTGTTACTTGTGAGTAGCAACATCCAGGGTCTTTGGAGGAGCAGATCGAGGTACGTGCCCTTTCTGGAAAATACCCTTTCACCGGCTCATCTGCGCGTACGTGGTGATGTCCTTCAGCCAGGCACCTCCACTGATAGTAAAAGTGTTGAGCAAGGGATTTCTAAAGTCTGTTGTCCGTTCCATGCTTCTATACCAATGCTGATGAGGTGACATTCTTCCCAAAGGGGTCTTGGCTGGCTGCTTGTTCATTTTTCAGGCTTCAGGGAGCTTCCTTTGAATGAGGGAAGGTGGTGTTCTTAGCATTTCCATGGTTTTCCCCCACGTGTTCTCTTGAGTTCTGCTGTTAGCAGTTCCCAAGTGTATGGAGTAACAAAGCTGTGTGTCTACAGTGGGCTTCGTTCATGATGGGAATTGCCTGGAGCTAGAAGCAGGCTGGGCAGCGTGCTTTAGGAAAGTCTGCAGCTGGGAGAAAAAATGGGCAGGGAAGGCTAATGGAAATGAAAACAAGCCCAAGAACTTCTTCAGATGATTTCCTGCCATTTTAATTTTCAATAGCATTTATATCAGATAACAAAACCTCATAAGCTTTTTCCCTCACATGTGTGATAAGATGACGGATCTAATGGGAGAAAAAGACTTTAGAGAAATCACCCTTTTCTGGTCTGTCCTCTGATTTCTCCGGGTGATCAGGGTTATTCATGCTTACTTAAAAAGCCTTTCTAGAATATAGAGAGGCATCTATTTAGTAGAGAATGACTGAAGGTTATGCAGAGAGTCCCTTTCCCTTCCCAGAGGATGGGAATGTGCATGCTTCTGGAAGATCCCAGGCCCCTTCCTCTTGCCACCAACATCCACAGAATGGCAGGGTGCAACGTTGGGTGGTCTCGGGTCTGCAACTGCTTGGGCATTGCACTGTACCACAGTTCTCATCTTCTTTTGAAAATGGTAGGGATCAGATATAAGGATTTATGCATAGTTCCTCCTGCAGTAATCCTCACGCTTAAGGTTTTTAACCGTGTGTAATGTTGTCCTTTTTCCATCCTCAAAATACGTATTATTCTGTTGAGGGCCCGTGAGGCAGGTGAGCTGGCTTCCACTGAGGATAGATTTAAAAAGAAACGTGGTTCTTCTGAGATGTCTAGAAGCTGAAATTCACCAT